GACAGTTCAGTCAGCAGAAATATGATCTTTGGATTCACTCAAGGTTTTTAAACCACAGTATTGTTAAAAAGCATTATTGTTTAAAAGCATTATCTATTTGTTAAGTTTAAGACCTGGAATTTTACATAAGCTTCCCATCCCCAAGAAAATCTTTACTGTAATGAGAGCGACAAGGCAGAGGACATTTCTTGGCAAACATGAAAACATTGAGTTTATCCAGTCTTAGAAGCTGACATCTTGCATTATCCATATAGATAAAAGAAATTTATCTGTGCCGAGTTTTTGATACACCTGTAATCAAGCTCAAGCCCTGGGAAAAGCCATTTCCCAGCACTGGTAACAGACTTTAACTACACATAATTTTCTCCGAAGAACAAAAAACAAGAAAACCCTACAACCCACTCAACATTTTCCCTTCAGCTGAAAAGTAAAAGCAGAGAGGAGGGAAGTGAGAAGTCAGGGTGGAAAGCTACCTTACCATTAAAACAGTGCCTCTAACTTAAGAGGCCGATCAACATTTGGGTAGTAGTTTGGGGCACGCCAAGAAACACTGGAGCTGTCTGGTGTGGCCCACAATCATTTCTGAGCAATGTTGCCCAGAGTGCCTCAAGTGACATATTTCTGCTACTGCCCCTGCTGGTCTCTTAAAACAAAGAAAATCAACTTACCATGAAGTCTGGACCAGGTGTTGGTTACGTTCACATTCTAATACCTGAAGGTACATAACGATTATCTGGAAGATATGGGTTATTGAGTTATTAACAAGAATCTCGAGAGCCACCTATTTATTTCAGAGGGACATCCATGAGGCATCTGTTATTCTCTTTCAAGTTCTAAAACACTCCACATGCGATGTGAGAGTGTTTGCAACATCCCCAGTGTTTTATCCACACAGCTTCTGCTCTCCAATGCAAAAGTGTGCACGAGTTGACACTCAACCAGATCTGACCTTCCTAGCTCTCCGTCTTCTGAGCTCAGTCATCATGCTATTCATCTAGATGTCTTGTCTTCAACTGTTTTCAAGCTAGGTATGTTCTCCTATACAATTCACGATTCCTTTTTAGCTGTAACTTGGGAGAAAATATTGCTAGCTGCAATAAGCAGTAACAGAAGTATAACAGTATTTGCAGAGAACGGATCTAACATGTTGTGTGTCACTGGTTTATTCTGTTCTAGTTTTTTTCTTAGGTTTGAAAGGAAAACAAGGATGCAGATAAAAAGATTAATAGCAAAAATTCCTAACAATTAACAAACAAGTACAACTGTCCTCTGGGGTACCGGTAACATGAGTGAATTTTGAAAGTCAAGTAGGCTTAAAGAGACCTTAAGACAGCAGTAGCTTTTAAAGGAAGAAAAAGAGCAAGATCCCAGGTTCTGCTGGCACAGAAGTAGGAGGTTCTTTTACCACATTTAGCTACTTAAGGCATAATGCTAATGGTACTAAAGCACCAGCTTAAAACATTTGCAGCAGTTACATCCTCCAAGTATCATCCTAGGCTGACATGAGATACTTAAATATTGAGAATTGTCTCATTTCTAGTCAAGCCCTTCACACCCGAGTGTACTTTTTAGAACATGAGAAACACTACTAACTAGCTCATACGGGTTTAATAACCTCAGCATGTTTCCACAAGGAGTGATCATGACACACTGTTTCTTATAATAGGATTTCACAACCCTAGGTCTCCAAATTCCTTTCTCCTTAAGAATCTATGTTTAGTTGACGTTTTCTAACACCAAAGCTACTACTTATATAATTTGACTTCAAGGAATACTCAGCATCTGCATCCACCTCCAGTCGTCATTCAGCAGTGATACAAGACCAACTAGTAAGACTCTCTTAAATGAGAAAGAAAACATTGGGAACATAAGAAGCTAGCTTTACTGAATTAACTAACGTTATCATGTACAAACCATACAGCTTCCATGCAGTTACACAGTCTACTCAAAGCATTTATAGCATATGAAACACCGATTATAAAGTTAACTTATACAGTACAAACCTTATGAGGGTGCTTTACATGAACACAAAATCCCAACTCCTTTAACACTCTTCTTTCTGCCTTAATAATTTGATTCTTCAAGTTCACATATTCTTGATCCAGTATTAGAGGCACAGGTTTTCTGCAAGACAATTTCAAATTCTGAAGAAGATAATCTTAACCTCAACGACTACTCATATGCAGGTTAAATCATGTTCGTGTAAAAGTAAGAGACATCATTATTTATAACACCAAGAATATTTACTTAATAAAATGGGTCAACTCACTTTTCTCCTTCATGAGATCTCTTCAAGATGTTCCCTGATTTATGAAACAGGGAATGATACTATCGTTGGCCCATGAAGTTTAATAATTAAAATAAAACATAAATACTTCAGATTGTTTCAAAGTCTAAGCTTACTTTTTTTCCCGTAGATGTCTAAGGCGATGGAACACGTTAATTACATCCCTTATGCGTCTTGGTGCTTCTTCAATTTTGGATGCCAGATGAACACAGGCCATTGACACATGCTGAAATATAAGTATTGCAAGATACTGATGTTTTGCTCAAATCAGGACCTGATCGCCTCCAACAGCTTAAGGAGGGATAACAAGAGAAAACGGTGGTAAAACAAGGAAATACTAAAAATTTGACAAAATCAGTACTATGTAGGTTTGTAAAATCATGTTGATCAATAAGTAAAATCTACAGGCTAGTTACCAACACTCTGATCGCATCTAGCTTGACAACTTGCCAAAACAGATCAAGGATTAAGTATATGGCTACAAACATTACATCTTTTAATATTTTCAGCTTGACAACTTGCCAAAACAGATCAAGGATTAAGTAATGTTTGTAGCCATATACATCTTTCAATATTTTCTTACCTCCATGGAATGCTTCACAAAAGACTTGGTATAAAAAAAACGCTGAAATAGCACCTGTCCTGTAGCCATAGCCACCTAAAAAGGAAGTAACCACAACAGGTATTAACAAAACAACTGCCAGTTCCAGAAAGAAATTACCTAGAATGATTTCAACAGATTTAAGACCCAGAAGACTAGCTAAGCTGTATTTTAGTATGGGAGTAAGTTCAGTGCTACCTAAGGAGAACTAGCACCCCTACCTCAGTAACAAATTAAGTAGCCCAAAATGTTATCAACATCACAAACGCTGTAAGTCAAATACATAGGTTAAATCGCAAACTTCTTTATGAAGTATGAAAACATGCTACAAATTAAATAAATTTAAAAAACACCCCCAACAACCCAAACACTAGCGCCCAATAAAACTGAAAGTTATGACAGTACGCCAGAAAAAACTCTACTTTGTGGGCATGGAAGAAGGGGGGAATCTAGTCATAAGGCAATTTGAGCGGCTGAGACTCGGCAGCTAGAAGATGCCTGGGGAGTTTTACACTCGGAGAGCAACGAGACTGTTCGCGATTGGAATTCGCCAGGAAACAAAACCTTTCCGAGGTCGCTACAATTCAAAGGAGTCCCAAGAAGTCCTTCTTTTCGCAAGCCCCGATCTTAAAAAAAAA